GGTGTGCTGTAGCACCACTGGGTTGACCGTTCGACTCCTTTGAAAAGTCTTAGTGGGGTCCCCTGAACCTTGAACGCCAAAGGCCAACCCTAAACAACAGCGCAGCGCCTCGTTCGAACAACAGCTGGACTTACATCACGGCTGTCGGGGTTCTGCATCGTGAAAACTGTGAACCCTGAACTTGACAACATGTTGGCTTCAGAGTATTCAATGAGTAAATTCTCGTGTGCTCACTAGTCTCGGGTCCTCGGAAGGAGCTGTGACCTATGAAGACTGCCAGAAAAAGCGCGGAGCCCCCAACCACAACCAAAAGCCCGAAGCCACGAAATGCCACGAATATCAAGTACCCACCGGAGCGGCAGAAGCAGGCGCCGTACACGATCACCTTCCGCACGGAGGTAGGAAGAGCAACCGAGGCTCAACTTGGGAAAGAGACGGCGCCAAGGCGCCAAACAGCCCGACGCTTCAGACTTTGGGACTACAGAGCCTCTACTTTCGTTGAATTTTCAGATGCCCTTCAAAAAGACTGAATCCTACGCGCCGCCTTGGACTCGTCGATCGCGGACATGCTCATCTGCGATGGGGCCGACATGTTTCAAAGACTTTCCACAGGTGACCCTGCAACGGGTGAGATCTGCTCCCTGGTTCCAAGACGGCTGCAGGATGCGACGATGCGGTCATGCGCATGCCGTGCTCTGCCCTCCGCATGCTCCGCATACATGACCCTGCCCACTTAGCTTGCTATAGTCGGTTGGCAACAGCTCCTGAATGCGTATGTGGAGAACACACATCATCAACAAGTCAACAAAATCATGGGGCAGGTGGCAGGCGCGAATGCATTTTTGGCTTCGCTGCGCAAGGATTCAGTTCAGAGAGCTATTTCGGCCGCCGTTTCTGCAACAGACCCTTCGGGAAGGAGACGCGGACCAACATGCGCCGCATGCTCCTACTTCTACGCGTATTCAAGGAAATTAATGTTAGGAATTGGAACGTCGATATTCTTGGGAACTAACGAACCGGACCAACTCCATCAAACATACTCCACTCCCCGCACTTCGGAAGGGAAGCTTCGCAGGAGCGAGGACGACCCTCGTCTAGCCCTTGACCTCTGAGATCTTCTTGAAAAAGCCGACCTGGCAGTAAAGCACAAGTCGCTGCAGCCACTTCCACGCGAGACAGACCATGCCATGGGTCAGAGGTTCGTGGGGTCTTCGGGGGGTCTGGCTGGAAACCCTAGGACATTCAATCCGACTCACAGCAACAGCAACGCTGCCTTGGGGAAGCAGACCAAGAAACAGACGGAGATCATGGCAGGCACCTCTCGAAGGACAAGCGGCACGTTGCTTGGAAGCTTTGGGGCACCGAGTCTTGTGCAGCTGCTGCCAAAATCTTCAAACGACACAAACGCCATGATGCTGCATTGCCCTTGCCGTCGGCTAGAGGCCCTGCAACTGCAACCCCGAAGGCGTCCCAGAAGTCACAAATCCAAATCCGGCCTCGGAGTCGGGTGGAATGGCCATGCCGGAGTGAAGGCAGAAGCACTGACCCTGCCTTGGATTGCACTTGCACTTGCGCAGTGCACTGGCACGTGGTTCACACACAGGCACGCGGCGTGTGGAGCTGGAACCACGAAGCGATGCAGCTTCCCCAAGCACGTGAAACCCGAAAGCCTTTGGCCAAAGGCGCTGCTTGATGCATACCTTGGGCGACTCGAAGCGGATGTCCATGCAGAAGCAGCGGAGCCTTCGATGCCGATAAGGTGACGGTGGAGGAACATGATCTACCCAAGGTGTGAGGGGCGCCACATGTGAGGATCTTGCGAGGTCTCGCCTGCAGCATGCAGTGTGAATGGGCCAAGTGCCTGGATCTGTCTCCTTCTCGGAGTGACATGAATGCAATCCCGACACATGTTCAAAACTGTAGATCGCGGCAAGCACACACGCACACGCACACGCACGACGCACGACGCACGCACGCACGCACGCACGCACGCACGCACGCACGCACGCACGCACGCACGCACGCACGCACGCACGCACGCACGCACGCACGCACGCACGCACGCACGCACGCACGCACGCACGCACGCACGCACGCACGCACGCACGCACGCACGCACGCACGCACGCACGCACGCACGCACGCACGCACGCACGCACGCACGCACGCACGCACGCACGCACGCACGCACGCACGCACGCACGCACGCACGCACGCACGCACGCACGCACGCACGCACCCCAGCACACCACACACGCACCACACGCCGCACGCACGCACGCACGCACGCACACACACACACACACACACACACACACACAACACACACACCACACACCACACGCACACGCACACCACACCCCCACACACACACACACACACACACACACACACACACACACACACACACACACACACACACACACACACACACACACACACACACACACACAAAACCCACGCACAACACACGCGCATCGGAGACTTGCAAGGCTTGCGGCGGAAGTTCTGGAATGTTCTGGACTTGGGCCCTGCCACGTCAACTCACGTCACCAAGTGACTTGTCAGCGCCACTCTTGAGGCAGAAGTCGCAAGAGAGACAGAGCAGCGTCTCCTCAGGCTTGAGTAGGTGCCGATACGATCGGATGTGCGTCTCAGATGCTAACTGCAGCTATACAACACGTGTACCATACCAGTATACCTTTGGCGCGCCGTCTCCGGCCACACCTCGGGCGTGATGCACGGCACCCTCCCTTCGCGCCATGCTCACTCGTTTTGAGATGGAGTATACACTCATGCCTCCCTGTTAGAAATCGAGAGTGCTGCGGGCGCAGTGAGCATAAGGCATAGAACGAGAAAAAGAAAATGGGGGAGGGAGAGAAAAGGAGAGAGGGAGAGAGAGAGAGACGGACCCAGTTTGCAAACAAATGAGAATCGCTGTCCTTGCCAAGACGGATACGCGCGCTGATGCATGGCTTTGGTAGCTCGCAGTCTAAGACCGCAGCCCCAACTTTTGACCCCAAGCTATCGACTCACTCCTTGGCGGCGCAGCCAATCTCCGGGTTCTCAATCTGAATGCCGTTGAAGCAGCCTTGATCCGATTCAAGGGACACAAAACTTCGGGATTAGGCCTTGACCCAGCTTTTGGGTTGAGAGATGAAGGTGGTGTGAAGAAGCTGCAGGGGCCACGATCTCTTCGGTGTGCTGTAGCACCACTGGGTTGACCGTTCGACTCCTTTGAAAAGTCTTAGTGGGGTCCCCTGAACCTTGAACGCCAAAGGCCAACCCTAAACAACAGCGCAGCGCCTCGTTCGAACAGCAGCTGGACTTACATCACGGCTGTCGGGGTTCTGCATCGTGAAAACTGTGAACCCTGAACTTGACAACATGTTGGCTTCAGAGTATTCAATGAGTAAATTCTCGTGTGCTCACTAGTCTCGGGTCCTCGGAAGGAGCTGTGACCTAGGACCTAGGAAGACTGCCACAACAAGCGCGGAGCCCCCAACCACAACCGAAAGCCCGAAGCCACGAAATGCCACGAATATCAAGTACCCACCGGAGCGGCAGAAGCAGGCGCCGTACACGATCACCTTCCGCACGGAGGTAGGAAGAGCAACCGAGGCTCAACTTGGGAAAGAGACGGCGCCAAGGCGCCAAACAGCCCGACGCTTCAGACTTTGGGACTACAGAGTCTCTACTTTCGTTGAGTTTTCAGATGCCCTTCAAAAAGACTGAATCCTGCGCGCCGCCTTGGACTCGTCGATCGCGGACATGCTCATCTGCGATGGGGCCGACATATTTCAAAGACTTTCCAAAGGTGACCCTGCAACGGGTGGGATCTGCTCCCTGGTTCCAAGACGGCTGCAGGATGCGACGATGCGGTCATGCGGAGCAACTGTCATATGCTGCACACTCCGAAGCAAAAGCCTTGAGCATATCTTCAGAAGGCCTGATTCCAAAATGTTCACATTGACCACACTGGGGTTGCTGCAAGCAGGCGCAAGACTTTTCCTTGTCTTTATTGTGCGGGGACTGCATTTATGCTCTTTCAAATTTGGTCCAAGAGACAGGACGCATATAGCCCCGCCGGACCGAATGCAAAAACAGCTGGCGAATCTTGTGGTGCTTACTTGTCAGGATGCTGCTGGCTGCTTATAAGGCAGGAGGAATTGCAAGGAGGGGGGAATCACTGTGACATCAACCTCCCAAGCCTCTGATCGGAAACAACTGTTAAGAGGAGGAGCCCGAGCTGGGACGTGGATAGTCGTCCACATCTAGCCCTTGACCTCCGAGACCTTCTTGAAAAAGCCGACCTGGCAGCAACAGCCACGGCTGTGCAGAACACTGAACACAAGTATGAGCAGCCGCATGCATGCGATGCCATGATTGCGACGGAACCAGCCAACAACCCCACCATCCGACATTGCCTTCGGGAAGCAAACCAGGAAGCAGACGGAGATCATGGCTGGCACCTCGTCAAGAATGAGTTGCTTGGAGAAAGGGTATGAAACATGGTGGAACCATCCGAGATGTCCATTCTGGCCAAGGAATTAATGCGTCGGAGCACCTCCATCATCAAAGCGCATACGGGGCTTCAGCTGCTAAAGAAGGAAGATCACAAGCTCCCAAAGAATGAGGCGGCAGGATTACAGACAAGTGGGTCTCTTGACCCCACTGTGGCCGATGGCACCGTCTCCATTTCAGATTTCCCATGCCCGTGACAGTACTGTCCACCCAGACTGATGACAAGGCAATGAACTTGGAGGCTTGGTGTGATGCCCAATTAGGATCCCCTTTTTCGCCTGTACAATGTAGGCCGACACTCCCCCTGTAAAAAGGCCTCGTTGGCCCCCAAAAAAATAGAACCCGACAGGATCCCCTGCAGGCACAAAGCAACCAACAGGCCTCGGAGTCTGGTGGCAGGGCCATGGCCGAGTGAAGGCAGAAGCACTGACCCTGCCTCGGATGCAGTTGCAAGGGAATTGTGTATAGGCGGTATGTCAAGTATACGCATATATAATTAAGTATGTGATCCAAGCAAATTCTTTCCCATCAACACTCTGGGTTGTTTGACCAAAGGCACTGTTTGATGCATACCTTGGGCGACTCGAAGCGGATGTCCATGCAGAAGCAGCGGAGCCTCTTTTGACGAGTCCAAGTGTTGTGCGACGATCATATCATGTGGAAGTTGGCCGAATCGGGCAAAGATGAGCAGTGACGCATGCTCAACATAGCCCACTGCATACCTAATTCTGTGAACCCTTTAAGGCTTTGGGGCGTGGCCTATGCATTTTCGAAGCCTTCCCCTGTGAGCTCTCCTGTAGTTGGTGTAGTAGGCTCAGCTCTGAATTTACTGACGCGGTCCAAGAGGCTTCTCGGCACCGCTCTTGAGGCAGAAGTCGCAGGAGAGACAGAGCAGCGTCTCCTCGGAGATTCGGAGTTCGCCAACAAAGCCTCCGAAGTACGGTACAGATATGTTCAACGGTGATAGTCCGGCTGACAGAACAGCACCAAACCCAGACCCCTTGAACCCTTGAACTCCGGCAAACCATGCACTCCTTGGCTGCGCAGCCAATCTCCATGTTCTCAATCTGGATGCCATTAAAGCAGCCTTGATTGTGGCCCAGAACTTGCGTCTTAAAAAATAGCTTGTGTGGTCCCTTCTTGGGCACACTGCAACGTCTGCGTTGTCTGTTTCGAGCGTATGTGGCAGAACGCCTAAAGAGCAATCACTGTGTCGCTTTGACGTGTGTGAAGCCCCTGCAGTGACCGTACTCAACAGCGTCGCAAGCGGCTTCTAAGCACACAGCCACGGGCAGAAAGGGTGAGAGCATGCAGCGCGATGAAACAGTAAGGAATAACAGTCTGGTTCTACTGCCCAAAAAATCCAAAAGTCAAGAAGTATTGGCGAAGCGGCAAAAGCAGGCACCATAAACGATCACCTTCCAGAGGGAAGGGAGGGAGAAAGATGCCTCCAAAGACTCCTATCATTACAAGATGACGAGTGTCAAGCGTTGTCTCCAAAGAGCTTGTTTCTACGTGTGGAGTACTTCTTGGTTAACGGAAGACAAACAGGTTGCTCATCAAACGTTGATATGCCTAGCTAAACCACTCAGCCTAAGCTCGGGCAGGACTATGGGGAGACAATCATGGCCATTCGCCGACCAATCCTTTGCCGTCGTGTGCGCACACCCTTTGGAGAAAACCCCAATCTCCATGGACTCAGAACCCCAAGATGAGGCATGAGGCAGGGCTGAATAGGACCGATGCTTCTATCAAAGCAGATGTTGCTCAAAACCCTGAACCCCCAAAACTCATCAGCCCATAAACGCTCAATATCCTGTACCCGCCACCTTGGACTCGTCGATGGCGGACATGCTCATCTGCGATGGGGCCGACATCTTCAAAGACTTTGGGAGAAGGTGACCCTGCGACGTGAACGATTTGCTCCCTGGCGCCAATACAGCAACCGGCGGCATCGCTCCATCCAGATGTGATGTTGCATGGTTCATTGGGTGATGCGATTATGGTGCATATTGGGTTTCTTTTTGAGATTCAGGTTCAGGTAGTCACATCAATAAGCTGTTTATAGATGGCCTGCAATCCCCTGCCACACCCCAAACATCTACAAATTAAAGGAAGCCCCATCTGTCTTAAAGCCACTAGTCGAGACCTTCTCGGACCTATCAGTAGCGAAGCACAGAGTTCTTCAGCCTCTTTGGGAAATTTGGGGGGGAACAATGGTCTCATCCCTTTGTCCGAGGTTTAGACATCCCTTCTTGCATCCTGGCTTTATAATGGAAACCTTGCCTTGCACGTGCCATAGCGTCTGTACCCGAGGACTGAAAGACTGAAGGCCTCCATGGGCCGAAAGAGTCTAACGCCTGAAGCTGAACGCGGGTGCGCGCGGTCTTTTATCTACTCTGTTTACAAGGCTGCAGTTCAGATGCTTCCCACCAGCCAGGAATGTCTGAGACGCCGGATGTTTCAACCCAAGCGTCCCAGCCAAAATTCCAGAGCTGTTTCCATCGGTGACCGTGTCCAGACTTGTTCAAGGGGCTCCAAATTGTTTGTGCAGGGTGAGGCTGCTTCCCATTGAGCCGTTTCTACGCCGCCTCGAAATAGGCACAGAGGTTTGGGAGAGATTCCTTGACAAAGTCTTTCCGCGGTCACAGGACAGAACGCATTAACCCGCTACGCCATCAGCTGGCGATTTCTGATGGGACTCAGTGAAGGCCAGGAAATTGCAGATCTAGCCCTTGACCTCTGAGACCTTCTTGAAAAAGCCGACCTTGCAGCAGCAGGATCAAATGGCATTCTTGCAGCGTCAGCCCAAGCCACGCAAGTGTCACAGAAATACTCACAAGCCTTACACAAGGAGGGCGCTCGAAGACCAAACGCTCAACTCTAAAAACCCGCAGCCGCCTTGGGGAAGCAGACCAGGAAGCAGACGGAAATCATGGCAGGCACCTCTTCGACGAGCCCACGCTACAAGGTTTTGAACGCCCTTAAGTATGCTTTCTTTTGCATGCACGCACGCGCGCAGGCAAGGAAAGCGCACCATGTGCTTGGGATCTGGTTGTACGACCCGTCAGGGTCTGCCAGCAAAATTGAAACCACGCTTCGGGTGGCATGTCTCCCTCAGCCTAGATCATGACCCAAGACCAAAACACCACCTTGAAAACATCTCCATTCCGAATCCTTAAACGGCCCTCTCGAGCACAGGCTCTCAACAAGAGCCTCCTCCTCTTTGGAGGCACCAAAAAAAAAGGAAAAAGATACCCAAAATGGAACAGTACCGGCCTCTGAGTCGGGTGGCAGGGCCATGGCGGAGTGGAGACAGAAGCACTGGCCCTGCCTCGGGGAGGGGCTCGTCAAATCTTGGCACAAGGGTACATGGGGATTGCTGCGCTTAGATACTTAGAACAGGATCACGTCTTCCTGTAAATCTAATGCTCTCATATCAACGTGCCGTACCATAGGCCTCCAGAACGACTGGACCAGAAGTAAATAACAACTATAACATTCACACCAGCCAAAACAACCAGGAAGTGCCAAGTTTAATGTTTCTTTCACAACTAGCTTGACAGCACTCTTAGCGACCAACTGCTAAAACCCCATAACTCCATGCCAATCCTAAATCGACACAAATCAACGTAAGTCAAGGGCTCTATATCAGTAATCGGGAAAGCGGCACGTCCAAACGGTGCAAAACTGTGCAGAGGATAAGCTGTATGTCGCACACAAAGCGAGTGTAACAATCAGTCCCAGAAAGTGCTGTACTACTGTCCCAAAGAATCACCTGAAACAAAAGCTTGTGGTTTTCCAGCACGTGGTTTGTACGCTTTGGGAAAATGCTCACGCGTTGTGTTCCCCTAATTTTAAACGAATACTGTAAGGTTTGGGCCGAAATCTTTGACGAATAAGGTTTACACAGTATTCTCGCTTCTCTGTGCCCCCCCCCCCCCCCCCCCCGCAGTACCTAGGTCTCATTTTCTTCCCTGCCTCAGGTACCGGCCTCAGATGAGTTGCCTCTTGGTGGGTTTAGGGTTTAGGGCTTTCGTCTGAGTGAAAGTGCTGTACTGTCCCCAAAAAACCAATCCCAGAAGCCGGACATGCTGTACTGTCCCGAAAAAACCTAAGAAACTTGGGGGCGAGGGCCTGGGACGAAAGCCAGTTAAGGTACCCCCACGGAAGAGCTTCTGTCAACAGGGCATCCACTACGCATCAGGACAAGCATACGCAAAATCATGAGGCCGTCACCTTTTTCCCACGCGCTCCGTTTCGAGTTCCGAGTGAAATGAAAAAGAGGCGTTCTTTTCGAGATAAACTAGAACGCAAAAGAACGTGTTGACAGGGAGTTCTTTTGGAGCTCCGATGATCATCGCAAAAGAACGTGTTGACAGGGAGTTCTTTTGGGCCTCCGATGATCATTTCGGCATCGCCGCTTCAGCTAGTTCTCGCAAGCTCGGCGGCAGCTGAGGCATAGCCGGAGGCGCCAAGTTCAGTACCGTTCGTCTACATGGAAATTCGAAATCAGCCGTGGCAGACATCAACTTCGAGAGTTGCTCGTTGAAGTCTTGGCTCAGTGTGCAGGGGCCAAAAAAACTCGAACAGGCTTTAAATGCTGGTCTAGCATCTTCCGGAGGGCTCTTTTTTGAAGCGCATGACACCACAACAGATGTTGCACTCACCAGGCGAAGTCTGAAGTCTGTCCAATCCAGCTTTGAGGGACGCCAGACTCAAATCAACATCAAGGCTTCTGAGTCTTTTCTTGGGGGACTTGGGGGGCTTTTCTAGGCCTGGGATCCACAGAAAACGGCGTTCATTTGCACCCAATACACGAAAGGGGTGAAGGATCAAAAAAAAATAAGCATCAAAAAAAAATAACCCCAAGGGATCAAAAAAAAATAAATAAGCATCAAAAAAAAAATAACCCATTTTCCTCTTGGAATCAGCGGGGGGGGGGGGGGGGGGGGGGGGGGGGGGGGGGGTGGGTGGGGGGGGGGGGGGGGGGGGGTTGGGGGGGGGGGGGGGGGTTGGGGGGGGGGGGGTTGGGTGGGGTTGGAAAACCTTCTATTTTCTCGATCTTTTCATAGGAAAACCTCTATTTCTTCATATTCCCACAAGAAAACCTCTATTTTCTTCACGTTTTCATAGGAAACCTCTATCATCTCTATGTTTCCATCGGAAAACCTCTATTTGCTGTATTTTAAGAAAAACTTTTTAGTATCCCAATGGCTTCAACAAGATTCATAAAGCACGCTTTGCAGTGGCACAGCTTGATAAAAACGCGGCGGGGTTGGGGTTGGCGCAGCCCCCCCCCCCCCCCCACACCCCCCCACTTGGCTTTGCAGCACGCTTTGCACAGCTTAAAAAAACAGCGGGGGGGTTGGGGGGGGCGCAGCCCCCCCCATTTGCAAACAATGTTCGCACGATGCGTAGAAGTGGTGGTAGTGGTTGGAAAACCTTCTAGTTTCTCGATCTTTCAATGGGAAAACCTCTATTTCTTCATACTCCCACAAGAAAACGTCTACTGTCTTCACGTTTTCATGAGAAATCCTCTATTATCTCTATGTTTCCATCGGAAAAACTCTACTTCTACATGTTTTAAGCAAAAAACTTCCATTTTCTTTGCATTCCAATGGCTTCAAAGAACAATATATAATACATACTACATAATATATAAAATATACTATATAATGAATAATAAATAATAAATTAATTAATAATAAATAATATTATATATTTTATATATTGTATATTATGTATACAGTATATATTATATATTATATACTTTATATTATGCATTATATGCAGCATATAATATGCAATATACAATACATGATATGCAATATATGACATATAATATACAATATGCGATATATAAATATGAGCATAAATATATATATAATATATATATATTTATTTATTTATTTATGTTTATTTATTTATTCATATTTATATTTACTTATTATATACATACACATATCATATAATGTACGACAATATGAAAATATAAATATAAATATAAATGATATATATATATATATATGTATAATAAATATATATAAGTATAAGTATATATATATACACATGATATAATTTTTAATATAATATATATATATATATGTATAGTATAACAGATAATATTAATATATATTATAAATTATATATAGAATATATAATATATAATCTATAAGATATAATATATTAAATATAATTAAATACACATAATTACAAACATAAACAGAAAACACATTAGTACATAATACCAGAATACATAAAAAAACCATAATATATAATTCGACCAATACATAGCACAAAAAAAACATTTAAAAAAAATAATAATAGAAATTAATAATTTGCTAATTAATACATAATACAAATTACATATACTAATACATAATTACATAATACATGATTACATAA